AACCCACATCCATTTCAATGAAATTTAATGTAAGTCAGGAAGGACTCCTTACAACAGATCTTTTCAATTTTACCTAAGAAGGTAAAATTATTTTTTAAACTTTTCTTCATTATTTAGTCAACAAGAATTTGAAACAGCAAGTGGTTATATTTAATATAAATTAAAGCATAATTTTTTAATTAAAATATTACCACTATAAAGACAGTGTCTATTTCTTAAATTGTAATCTTTTACCTAATAATTTTTTAAAGGAAAAATAACAAGTTTTTACAAATAACTACATTGTAATTATTTTCTGTGGTTCCCAAACTGCACGGAGATACCACAGGACATTGCAGTCCTAGTGCTGCCAGGATATTTTAAATTTTTGAGGGAAAAACAATTCTGCCGGACACAGTACAAACTACTAGCTTGAGGTAATTCACATTCAATATTAGAGCACACTGCATTCCTTTCATATCTTTGCAAAGCTAGGTCTTCAGCAGTTGCTGTGATAAAAAGTACCAGGCAGGGCATGGTGGCTCATGCCTGTAATCCTAGCACTCTGGGAAGCTGAGGCAGGAGGATTGCTTGAGCTCAGGAGTTAGAGACCAGCCTGAACAAGAGTGAGTCCCCATCTCTACTAAAAATAGAAATAATTAGCCGGGCATGGTGGTGCACACCTGTAGTCCCAGCTACTCGGAGACTGAGGCAGGAGGATCACCTGAGCCCAGGAATTTGAGGTTGCAGTGAGCTATGATGATGCCACTGCACTCTAGTGAGGCAACAAAGCAAGACTCCATCTCCAAAAAAAAAAAGTACCATGAGAAAATTAACGTGGAACGGGAATTGAGGGATGTGGTATCCAGTCTGATTCCAAGTTTGAAAAATTACACAGTGCCCAAGAGGGGCATACATCCTCTACTAGTGATTGTGGTTATTTAAGAATGAACTAAAAACACTATCCTCTCAATTTATGTTATTATTTTTTTCAAACAGCTACTAAGTTGTTAGGATATATGTTCTTACTAAGTTATTTAGACTTAATTACTTTGTAAATGGAAGTATCAATAGGTGTTCCTTTTGGCCTGGGACGTGCCATGAAAAAAATACCAAGACACCAAGGGTGCCATGAACTGAAAGGTTTGGGAACTTCTAATCTACTGCATTTGGAAAAAACTCAATCACTTTCCAAGTATCCCCACCACCAAAGTCCTAGAAGGGACCAGAAGTCTTAAACGTTATTTGTAAGTTTCCTTTCTCTTTTTTACATGGAGTTAAAGCTACATTTTAAACATACTTAAAGCATGATACAAAAAATAAGGAATAAAGCTCTCTAATTACAGCAAGATTTCTGTAGATAATCTGCTACATGGAGGATGTATTAGTAAGCATAATTACCTTTACTTTTTTTTCAGTGAAAGTTTCCAGATTTATCTCTAGAGGCGTAAAAGTTCTCCTGATTAGTCAAACTGGAAAAGCAGCTTGGAGAAACAAGGCTACCTACCGTCTGCCCTTCAATGGCAGCTCGCTGGCGCCCTAAGACATCTTGCAGCTGAGTGAAATGCTGAATGAAAGCCACCACCTCCGCCTGGAAGCGCTGAGTGTGCACATACTGCACAGAGGCCATCTGCAGGCTCACTCGAATGTCATGTTCTCTCCGGAGCAAAGGGTCAGGCTGTCCGTACCTAGGAATGAGGATGAAACGTGCCTCAGCAATAAGACGCAACTTAGCATTTGAAGACAACTTGGGTTGATTCAGGGGCTTCCCTAAAAGCAGCTTTAACTATTAAATGGAAATCTACAGTTAAGTTTTACAAAGCAAACTCCAATAATTATTACTCCCTTTGTACGCTTCTGCCATGAGTTGAGGATGCTAGATAAGAGACTGGGTGACAGCCAGGCTTCTAAGCAGGTGCACGGCTCCGACGCTGAGCTCACTCACAGGCCACCTCTTTTTCCTGCCTTTAAGGAAAGGTTGAGTATTTGGGCTACTCTGTTCCTGGCAAAGATTGTGACAATATGGACTTGAAAAACAATAAAAATAAGGCCAGAAAATAATGGGTAAAGAAAATGAGGCATCAGAATCAATGTTTCTGGGGAAAACTATCTTCTGGAGGCAGAAAGAAGTCTTTTTACTTCAGTGAAATGTAGGAGGAAGCGTTTTGGAATCTACATTCAAAGATAAATTAGGTACCCCCATAATATGCTGAAATAAAAATTAAATTAAATTAAATTAAATTTAAAAAAAAGATAAATTAGAAGTCTTTTCCAAATTGTTTTTGAATTTAATGGAGCACAGTGCCACAATAACAAATTATGATACAGGACATAGTCAACTCACATTGCCAAGCACCTATTTTGTGCCAGCCAGAAAATTAAGAGTTTTACATTAAATATCTAATTTAGTATAGAATCATGCCACTGTGGTATATAACATTAATATAACCAAATCAATCTAAATTCTCAGAAGAGTATGATACAATCCCCCTAAAAATGAAAGAAAAGGTCTTCAGACATCTTTTAGAACACTTTTTCTCAACCTTGGTTAACACTAGCATGTTAAAAAACAAACAAACAAAAAAACAATAAAACCAGAACATTTAGAGGCAGATCTGACCATCTATGTTTTCTAACACCTTTCAAAAAGGTTGAAAACCACCATCTTAAACTCTCTATCTTCCGAGAAAATCATTTTTTAATAATCTGATAGGCCTAAAGATACCTTCTAAAATCTAAAACAGAAACAATTCAATATAGATCATGTTTATAAACAAAGAAAAGCACATAATGTATATGAACATTCATATCACCAACAACATTCAGAGGCTGAGATCATTCCAAAACTTTTAGAGCTAGCTAGAAGCTTAGAAATGATCTAACTTCAGTCCCCTTACTATTTAGATAGAAAAACTGATACATGGAGACTAAGTGACTTGCCTCGGGTCACACAGCACATTAATGGAACATCAGCATCAGAGCCCAGGCCTTTTACTAATCAGAATTATTTCAATCATACCCCAATCTGTCTATGAAGTCTGAGTAGCCTACTTCAACCCACATCCATTTCAATGAAATTTAATGTAAGTCAGGAAGGACTCCTTACAACAGATCTTTTCAATTTTACCTAAGAAGGTAAAATTATTTTTTAAACTTTTCTTCATTATTTAGTCAACAAGAATTTGAAACAGCAAGTGGTTATGAAAAAATATCAAGTGACAAAACGACTGATATTTTTACTTAAAAGTCTGGAAGATGAGTGCTTCTTCTCCACTTGTAGTGAACCGTTCTCTGTAGAACTCTCCATGGGATGTAAGGTCACTTAGAGACAGGCTCCCAATGCTTCCCTGTAAGGCCAGGTCTCCCTCTAGGGATGTTAAAATTAGAAGACATTATTATGTATCTTTTTTTGTCACATACTTTAAATATGTCTGGAACAAAAACTGATATGCACATGTCTCAAGCTTTCACTCTGTAATCAGACTAAATGTCAAAAGCAAATTTTCATATTCTAATAGACCCAGAAAAATATTTCATGCAATACTTCAGATTCTCAATGTAGAAGTCCAAAGGGGGTTGAAATAATACAGTAACATCACACATAAACATCTACAAAAGGGAAAAAATTGAAGTAGGATGGTTTCAGTGGCTCATGCCTATATTCTCAGTACTCTGGGAGGCCGAGGTGGGAGGATCACTTGAGGTCAGGAGTTCAAGACCAGCCTGAGCAAAAGCGAGACCCCATTTCTACAAAAAATAGAAAAATTAGCTGGGTATGGTGGCAGGAGCCTGTAGTTCCAGCTACTCAGGAGGCTGAGGCAGAAGGATCACTGGAGTCAAGAAGTTTGAGGTTGCTGTGAGTTAGGCTGACCCCAGGGCACTCTAGCCCAGGCAACACAGTGAGACTCTGTTTCAAAAAAAAAAAAAAAAAGTAAATGCATATACAATTTAAAAGATAAAACATTTATAAACACAAATAGAAACATGATCCTTTCTGAGATTAGACCACTATTTATAATTACCAAAGCATCATAAGATCTATTAATCATACTATGGATAAAAAATAAAATAGGAAGTATCAGAATATGTCAGGTATTCAAGCAACATTGAGTGGGTTTTAGTGAGATTTAATTAAAAGAACAAAATTAATGAGGTAGACAGCCACTGGAGACATAGATTTGAAACTACTCTGATACAATGAGATTGAAGGCCCTGAATGGTAGGAAGAAAGAGGCAGGTACGTTGAAACACATACAACTAGAATGTGAACCTATAATGAATCATTCTTAATATTGTGTGACTACTGAAAAGAATATTCTGAACTGTTGCTTCCATAAAACAAAATTTATCATCATAATTTTCATCACAAAACAATTATTAAGGTATACATATTTGGCATGCTAGTTCAGGTCCCAATGAACTGAAGATACATGCTTATTTTTGATTCCTAATGTCCTCTAACAAAAATATCCAAGTTTCTACCAACCTTAAAGACCATCAACAACAGGGATACACTCTAGAGCGGCGAGGGTGCGGGGAGAAGACCGATCCCTTCTAGGAAGCTTTTCTAAAATAATTCACACCAGGCAGGAAACCTTAGTTTCAGTTCATTCCTTCCCCAAAAGACATTCTTGTTTTTACTACAGCAGCAACATTTGAGCTTTGTAATCTTCACTATTTATTAATAATTAAGGAAGGAACAGTATCTTAATATACACTTTATAAATCCCTACTATTTAGAACCTGATGTAGTTGAGCACTTGTGTTCTAAGAATTTTAACTTACAAAGTCCCATTAGAAAGAATGTCAGTTTTGCTACAAAATCCTCCTGCAAAAAATCACGCCTCCTATTCGTAGCTCCCCCCATTTATGACTATAGATAAACACATTCCCTGGTTTCCCAGAAACAGCCCTGTTACATGTCTAGTTTCCAGGTATGTAATTTTTTCTTTTCTTTTCTTTTTTTTTAAATAGAAGCTGGGTCTCGCTCTGTCACCCAGGCTGGAATTCCTGGGTTCAAGCAATCCTCTGGGCTCAAGCAATCCTCCAGGCTCAGTCTCCCAAGTACCTGCGATTACAGTTGGGATTACCACCATGCCCAGCTAATTTTTTAATTTTTTGTAGAGATGGGATCTTGCCACGTTGCCAGGCTGGTCGGGTGCAATTATTAATAATGCCCTCTTTCGCTGTTAAAAACATCCCAATTCAGACAAAAAAAAATTATACAGGTACCCTAGAGAGAGTTTGTTAAAAATACGGATAGATTTCATGGCCCCACCATAATCTACTAAATTTAGATTCTTGGGATGGAGATGAGAGAGGGGAGAGGGGAAGGGAAGAGGGGAGAGGGGAGAGGGGAGCAGGCAGGAGGTTGAGCCAGATACCTGTATTTTTAACAAGCTAACCAAGCGATTCTGATCCATAAGCCAGTATTTGGGAATCCCCACCATAAATCATGGCCAGACCAGTAACCACAAGGTACTAATCTACACCTTACTCAGCATGTGAGGACAATCAGATTTGTGATCAGGATGTTCAAATGCTGACCAGATTTTGCAAATTTGATTTCGTTCCACTTACCAATCATTTCCAGGTGTGCTACTAATTTGGACACATTTGCTTTAGCAAGCTCACTGGTGGTCTTATTCAGCACGAGAGAGAGTGAATGAACCTAGGAACAGAGAAGATAAAGCAAGGCAAATATTAGTGGGGAAAAAAGGTATCTTTCTGTGAAACAGCAGAACGAAATCAAGGAAGATACAGAAAGCCTCCGGAAATGTGAAGGTAAAGCTTTTAATGATGCCAATTTCACTTTAGCTTTCTTGACAGACAAGCCATGATCTGATGACAGAGCTGATAAGAACGGAACTCAATTGGGCTGTCTAAATTCCAGGTTCTGTGGTACCTCCTCTATGCTTGTCTTGTCTATTCTCTGTTAGTGAAATGTTTTACATTATAAAATAATTTTTTTCATGTTGGCATTCATCATTAAAATTGCACAATTCTATAATTCAAACATTCATTAAGTAAAGGCTCATCTTAAGAAATACTTCAAAACAAAATGATGAATATGATTTAGAATCCTATTTAATGCCTTTGAACAAATATTTAATAGAAGCCCCTGTTGACCAGCTGGGACTTCGCCTAGCAATCACAATCAAAGGTTTTCTTTCCAGCCAGGTGTGGTGGCTCATGTCTGTAATCCTAGCACTCTGGGAGGCTGAGGCAGGAGGATCACTTGAGCCAAGGAGTTTGAGGTTGCTGTGAGCTAGGCTGATTGCCATGGCACTCTAGCCCAGGCAACAGTGAGACTCTGTCTCAAAAAAAAAAAAAAGATTTTCTTTCCTGGGAACTACTACAAATAAAAAACAAAATCCTGTCTTGGAAATAGTATTCTTTGTAACAAATTCTACAATATAATATTGTAATTATAACTACTAAAAGGTCTTATATATCTAGGATTGGTTAAGTCAGGTCTAAAAAACCTTTTTTGCTCTGAACACCATCATTAGGGGCAAAGCACTGACTGAAGAGAAGGAGGGAGAGAGGAAAAGACTGAGCAGATTCAATCTTCAATTCACACTCACTACTTCCAAATGGCAGAGACCACACCTTACCTTTATCTTCAGTGCCTGCCACAAAGCAGGTGCTCAGTAAATGTTTGGTGAATAAATGATTGGGGAAAAAAACAGATGGGCAAAGAAAAAAGGAAAATAATAAGAGAAAAAGAAGAAGGAAAAACACTTCTAGAAGAAGGACTTGGAGAAAAAAGGAGATTATAATAGTTGGAGCAATAACCCTGGGAGGTCACTCCAGTTCCCTTGCCGTATGATTTTTGACATAGACCACAGAAGGATCTCAAGACAACAGGATCACCATGAAGGGAAGAAATAAAATAAAGAACATACACACTGTGTCTAAAAATGCTTTTGTTTGGAGGAATCTGGCCCTCACCACCTGAGCCCACTCTTAGCATGAATCTCAGCGTCACTAAAGCAGGACAACCCGACCTCATATGCCTCTGCCACGGTGCAACAGGAAGCACTCAGCACCATTTGTCAATCTGATCAAGTCTCTAGAGCTAACTTCCATTTAGCTAAACATAGAGGATAAAAGAGGAAGTCAAAATGGAAAACAGGCAAACAGACAAATCTAGAATGCAGATACTCTACAAAGGCACTAACCCGGTTTCTCCAACAAGTCAATTATGTACTGGGGAGAGGGGAGAGGAGACTGACTTACTGTAATTAAAAGAGATTTAAGAGACATGACAGCAAATGTAACATATGAACCTTATTTGGATCCCAATCCAAAAAGTTCATACATTATTTTACTTAATTCTCCTCATTTTGTGAATGAGGAAACTTTAGCTCAGAAAAGCATAGTATTCCATTGAATTATAGAGACCAAAGGCATGAAGTTTCTTAAACCATTAAAAGGGCTTTTTTTTTACACAATCAGGGAAACCTGATGATGGACTAGTGAGTGTTACATAATACCAAGTAATTCTTCTTACTTTAGTTAGATGTGCCAATGCAGTATGGTATATAAGAAAATGCCTATTAAGAAATAAATACTAAAGTATGTAGAGGTGACATGGTATCTGAAATCTGCTTTAAAATACTTCAGCAAAGAGAAAAAGGAAGAGGTAAAGTAAACATATTACAGAGTTGGGCATATGGGGGTTCATTATACTATTTTCTCTGTGATAGGTTTGAAAATTTTCACAATAAAAATGTTTTTCAAAAATTCTTATTTTAGGCCGGGTACGGTGGCTCACGCCTGTAATCCTAGCTCTCTGGGAGGCCGAGGTGGGTGGATTGTTTGAGCTCAGGAGTTCAAGACCAGCCTGAGCAAGAGTGAGACCCCAACTCTACTAAAATTAGAAAGAAATTAGCTGGACAACTAAAAATATATAGAAAAAATTAGCCGGGCATGGTGGCGCATGCCTGTAGTCCCAGCTACCCGGGAGGCTGAGGCAGGAGGATCGCTTGAGCCTAGGAGTTTGAGGTTGCAGTGAGCTAGGCTGATGCCACTGCACCCTAGCCCGGGCAACAGAGTGAGACTCTGTCTCAAAAAAAAAAAAAACAAAATTCTTATTTTAAAAGGTACGTTGTGGAGGGGCATTTACCTAATCCTGTTCTCTTGTAGAACCAGCCATGTCAATCTATGCAAAGCCCCTAGGAGCACTCCACATCCATGAGCCAAAAGGTTCCTGAGGCTGATCACTACAGGCACCACAAGAACAAAGTTACCGTCGCAAACACATGAAGTCCCAAAGAATGACTAAAGCCTGCCCAGTTTCCATTCACCTTGCTAAGCCCAAGGCACCAGAGGCCTCAGAGTACCACAAGGTCATGCATTCACCAGACACTAAGCAAGAGAGGTGAATGGTTCCTTCCCATCTCTCCACTGAGATTTCTTTCATTTGAAGAGTGAAGGCTACTACCCTCTAGGGAAATAAGAAAACAGGATAAACTGGATAAAACGTGATTCTCCTCCCTGACTTCTCCCAACAGGAAATGCAAGTTCACACATGCTAAGGCATGTAGATGAAGAACTTCATTCCTCAAGGCACACAAATGTAGTCGGCCCCTGCAGGGGTTCCAGGGCTCTGGACTCGGGCTAGTTATAACAGGCCTATGAGTTCCCAAATGGTCGATTCAACTTAACTACTTTCACATCTTACTGTTCTAGCACACAAAGCAGAACAGCCTTGAATTCAAATGCTGTCATTTTTATGTTTGTTTTTTTTTAAATATTTACAACATTTAAAAGGACAAGTTATAAGTATGGTAAGCCATGTAATAGCAAAAATAATAATAGCTACTATTCACTGAGGGCTTATTATGTGCCATGGGCTGTGCAAAGGGCCTTACCTGTGTTATCTCATTGAATCCTTATAATGATCCTATGATGTACACACCACTGAACATCTCCGGTTTATTAATGAAAAAATTGAGGGGGGGAAGGTTAAATTATTTGCCGAAGTTCACAGTGAAGGCACCACGATTTAAACCTAGGCAAGTCTAACTTTTGAGACTTTATTCTTAAAGAGCTATACAGTTGCCCTCAATGAAAGTAAATGATGTTCCGAGAAAATGGGGAAGTAATAATAAAATCCATACTTTAAAGTTGCTATATGTACTAAACACTTTGCTAGGTGCCTTACATACATCACCTCATTTAGTTATCTTAATTAGATGATGGAAGATGAGAAAACAGAGGCTCAGAGAAGCAAAGTAATTCCACTGAATTATAAAGCACAAAGGAAAAACAAGATAGTTAAACCAATTATTTTCCCTGCCTCCAGAGGGGATGTGAACTAAAACCTTTTCTAAAATATTAACATCTACCTTTTTGTAACAGACAACCAGAAGACTACATAGCTCCCCTGCCAACAAAAGCTATTTTCCAGAGTAAATGTAAACTGCTTGCGTTTAAAAAAAAAAAAAACAACCCAAATTCAATTTTAGAACTTAAGGGAGCCAAAGGAAATTGATACCTTGAGATCCAGCTTGGTGTTGACTGGATCTTGAAGTTCAGACTCTATCATAGCATTTGATTCTGACTTAACATTTTGTAGAACGTCCTCAGGTGGCACCTTCATAGCATGGTTGTCTGCAGTGGAGCCAATTCCAAAAAAATCTAGTATCACAACCCAGGTTTGCAGTGTGATCAGTACATCCAAGCAGTTAAAATCAACATCAATGCTCCTGTTAACTCTACTATAACTGGAAGAGAATTCTGGATGTTTCTTATCCACCAAGAATATATTGATGTGGACCAAGGAATCATCAAATTTACTCTTTCCAACAAGTATCTTGGGCTCATCCGCTGTTGGAGAAGGGGGTGGGGTCAAGGGACAGTCCTTGTCTTGGACTTCCTTTTGCTTCTTCCGGGATGCAGAGGTGGGTCTTTGATACAACTGAAAGACATTAGGAGCTTCTTCCATGTGGGAAGGGAGAGACCGAGGCATATCCGGATATTCCACATTGGATACTGAAGGGCAAGACTGGGAAAGATATTCTTTTTGTGCTAAACTAGATGGCTTAGGAGCTCCTCGAGACACCATCAGGTTCTTATATTTGGAATCTGGATTTTTCTCCAATAAGTCTTCCATCAGCAAAGAATGCAGGGCAATCTGAATAGATAAAGTCTGAGGATGGTCTTTACTGAACTCCACCTCAAAATCCTGAAATTTTAAGCTCACAAGACCTTGGGCCCCCAAAGTCAGATCTCCACTCAGCTGAACCTGAAGCTCTGATATACAAAAGTTGGCTTGAATCTGAGTAAAGGATTTGACTTCTTTCACAGACAAGGACTTCTGAGAAGTGTTGGAAAGGCTGGAGTGGCTGAACAATCCATTTTCCTTCTTTTCAACAGAAGGTTCTCCACGGGAACTGAGGGAAGGCAGAGGAGAATTTGGGCAAGGCGAGGAGGTAGCACTGGCTGGAAACTTATTCAGATCTTCACTGTACACGAGATTGTCCAGCGTTTGTAAAACCTGCTCGTATACATGCTTTGCTAACACCACCTGTATTCAAAGAGAAAAATTCAGTTACTCCACTGCTGCTATTCACTGCACTTAGATGCAATGCCCATAAATTTCCAGTTGATATACTTACGGGTTTCCCCACAGGTTGTAAGTTAGTTGACACCAAGGACTATCTCTTTCATTCTTTTCCGTCCTTACCTCTTTCTGCCCCTCTTCTATTCACAAGGCCCTCCCCCAGTACCTCACAGAATAACCTACACACAGTAAGTGTTCTGTAAGTGCTGTGCAGTGTATGCCTGAATCAGCAAAGTCATTCTTTCGAACCCCACAAAAATAATTGCAGAAATTGAAGAGAATACTGCCAAAAGTCTAATGTGGGTACACCACAGGATTAAGAAACAAGACTCATGGTTCTATAAAACTGGCTCATCATCACCACTTAGTGTAACAACCTGTCCTTAGTGCTGTTAGTACTTTCTAGATTATAATGATGATCCATGATTAGTTATGTTTCCTTTCTCCCTCACTTTGTTTTTAATTACCATTTCTTATTAAAAATATTTTCAGGCAAGGTTTATTTAATTAAGGGCAATTTTTAAACAGAGGAATTCCAACCAATAGATACAAAAATAATAATAGAGAGTGACCATTTTGTAATCCCTAATTAAATAATATATCCCATCAAAGTTCATCAGTGGAATAAACCATTATGTGAATGACTGACAGGGAATTTTACAATGGAGAGATCAAGGTTTTTGCCACCTAAATACAATTAGCAATTTTGGCATCACTAAAAGAGAAAACAGACATTGTATACCTCCTGATATAACGTAAAACACCATGCATAGCACTACCTTTGAAGCATTCTAGTTAAAAAAAAAAAAAACAACTAAACTAAGAACCTGAATCCAGTTAAAACTGTACAGTTTATGGGAAATATGGGGGAACAAGTTAAGTGGCACACAAACAAACAAACAGCCAAATCCAGAACACAGAACATTCTACAGGGCAACTGAACTAGCTTCCACTAAAAATAATGGCATGGGGAGAAAAAAAAGAGGAGGAGGAAACTGCATTAATAAAGACCTACAGGATGTATCATCCAAATGCAACATGCAGACCTTGTTTGCATCATGATTCAAACAAACCAAAAATGAAGACGTTTTTGAGATGATCAAAAATGTTTCTGAAATCTGAAAACAGATTAAAATTTAGATGATATCAAAGAATTCTCATTAAACTTGTAAGGCATAATAATATCACTACAGTATGTAAAAAGATGCACATAGTTTGTAGAGGTACACTGCAGATATATAGGGGTTAAAATGGCATGAAATCTGGGAATTGCCTTAAAATATTTCACCAAAAAAAAAGATGGATGAAACAAATGTATCAAAATCTTCCTAAATGTGGAATCTGAGTGATGGTCACATAAGGCTCATTAGACGAGCAGTCCCCAACCTTTTTGGTTTCATGGAAGACAATTTTTCCATGGACAGTGGGGC